CTTACAAGTACCACGTATATGCACTGTCTTCCTCCCCTAGAGAGTAGCGCGAAGAAGTGAAGGGATTATGTTCCGCAGATGAATTTACGCTTAGAAGCTTGCTTCAACAGAACGCATCTGAACAAATAAGGTGTTCTGAGCTGTAAATTTTAGTCTACTGATACCAATGTGAGAGGCCCTTTTAGCAACCTTAAAATGTGAGAATCCTGTTTTCCTCTTGTGTTCACAAGAATTCGCTGTGCAGAAGTTGATTATCTGCTGATGTTTACATTCCAAAATCTGATTGATTTCTGATCCACCTTTTGATGAAGCTGAAAGCTGCGCAACCAGTTTTTTTTGCTTTGGAGGTAACTATGGAGAATTAATTTTGCCTAGTAACCTTATGCATTTCAAAATCCCAATTGATTGGTGTGACATCTTGTTTGAGCAATAGGACTGATTTTTCAAAGAGGCTATTGGATGGAAACTACGAAAGATGCAATACAGTAAGATGCATGTTTTGGTGTGATAGCAACAAAGGCTGAGAAGTAAAGAACGCTATGCTTATAAGAAAGACTTCGCATGGTTCAGATGAGTAATCATGCAACCTTGTTAGGTTACATGATTACTATTATTACATGATTGTTACACACACACACACACACACACACACACACACACACACACACACACACACACACACACACACACACACACACACACACACACACACACACACCACACACACACACACCACACACACACACCACACACACACACACCACACACACACCACACACACACCACACACACACACCAACACACACACCACACACACACACCACACACACACACCACACACACACACCACACACACACACACACACACACACACACACACACACACACACACACACACACACACACACACACACACACACACACACAAACGTAAACAACCAGGCCGTTATTACAAGTTATGATAAAACCATTGATCTTCTTTCATTGTGGGAAGGGTGATTTGGCTTAACTTATCATGATGTGTATGAGAATATTCAAAGCATCATAGTATTACCTGCTTGGGCATTAGTGCCATTTGTGGCTGCTTTGATTATACGAAGATTTTCGTGAGGAAAATTAGAAGAAAAAACGAATTTTTCTTATTCGCTTTACACTATCGTATAATTTATAGGAGTCGTGAAGAGAAAAATTATAGAACTTTCTCAGGTGTACGACTACCCAACTTCCGCTTGAGAATGCAGCATAGAGTTGATGCCAACCTAGGTTTCTGGACAAAGAAGCCCAACCCTGCGAAGTGCTACACGCGTGCAATATACACAAAAATGGCTTTTTGGAGCACAACCCTAGCAAAGGATGTCCCAATAAATTTTGAGCTGGATCATCAATGCTTGCTTTAATCCTCTGTCGATTGTTAGGTAACATTGCGTGGTGCTGGCTTGAACTTAGATTTGCAGTTTAGAAGCAAATCGCCGATCCTTGATAATGTAGGACTACGGTAGGAACTTTCAGAACACGAAAACGTTTTGGAACAGGCTGTCTAAAAAAATGTTCAAAAAATATTCGGAGAATTGTAGCAGGGTTTCCACGCATGCTGACTTCACTGCACAACTTTTTGAATTTTTGAGCTTCTCTGAGATTGTCGTCACACTTATGACTTATACAAAAACAGTTATTACCGTTTACGGGTTATAATTTTAGAAGGCATTACCACAGGGAAGTGCAAACTTCGTATTTGAAATCAGCGACATTGAGCTAGCAAAAAAGTTTTTGGCTTGTTTGCTTTTGTGTGCTGTTTCAAAAATGGCATACAGTAACCCGAAATCCTTTTTGTCCTGTCGTAATCCTACAGTAACGAAGACCTCTTGGTGATTGGCTCCATATTGCTAGTCTAAGTTCAAGATGCTACAAAACGGTACACATTCTGGCGGAAAACATTAGAACAAGAGAGATATCAAAATCAAAATCTGTGCACCTTTTCTTGAGACACGTATAGTGAGAGATCTTAGTATAAGATTAGCTTCAATTTTTTTTTCATGCAAGCACCAAATGCTTGCGCATGTATAAAAAATAAGACTAAAAACAAACTAAATAAGAAAAACAAACTAAAAACCTTTTTCTCATAAAAAAACAATCGATTTTCAAGTTTGGAAAAATGGAAAAGACATTGCTCTCATAACTATGGATACACTTGAATGTGGCTTCAGAAGTCAGAAGTCAGAAGCTGTCAAAACTGTCAGTCCGTAACAGCTTTCGGCAGAAGATCTATACTACTTTGCTGGAATCGCCGCGCGTTACCAAAATCCAAATATAAGCGAGAGGCGGCAATCAGCGCTTTTGCAATTTATAGAGGAAGAAGCTACAGTTGTTACTGACCGAAAGAGGTTAAAATATAAAAAATGCGCAAATCAAACTACACATTGGATAGAACTCCTTATATGTGACTAAAAATTCCAGCGTAATTGTTGCTTTTGTCCCATGATAGATACCCTCATAGTCGCCGAAAGAACGATGCAGACAACTGACCGAAATTTCCGCAGAACGAAAAGTTCGCAGTTGGGGAAGTTCCGCCGGGTCCCCTGTGGAACTTCCGAAAAATGCGTAATCGAGATTTGAACCTTCTCTGTTGTGCGAGACTCACTCACTACCTCTGCACTAAGGATGACATCTTCTTCAATGCACTCTAGTTCTTGGCGAGACAACATCGTAAGTAACACATTTGAAGCTCTGCGAAAGTACTAGCAGGCCAAAGTGCTGCGCAACCATTTTTCCGCAATTTCCGCAGCGCTTTGTAAAAAGTCCGGCGGAAGCTAGTTTTGTTACACTTTCTTCGCCTTCCTCTGGAAAACTCTAGAAAATTCGGCAAGACCTCATATCAGGCATATATGGGGAAGGGATAAAGGGCTATCTGCTGGCACCACTTATGCCCTCACCACATGACTTACAGTGAATATAAAGGGAACACTATAGGGGCACCCCAACCTTCATTTTTTTTCTTTGTTTCATAAAAACTCTCTTATTCTTCTTTTCCACATTTTTAAATTTTTTTTATAGACTTTGGGGACCATTGGTAGTAATACTGAAGCAGTTTGGAAGATCAAACTTTTCATCAACCAAAAATGGAAATATGCCAAAAATAATTCGAAAAAATTTCAAAAAAATTTAAAATTTGATTTTTCATGTGTGGCATGTATATATCAAAAATCTGCAACATTACACATAGTCTGGGAGCAAGGAAAAATTATTTGAGAAAGTTATGAGCATTTTTTCAGTCGAGTGTAACAAAATTTATGTAACAACCTAATACATACATATGGTGTTGTTAGTCCTTAGAAGCTGCGATTTTATGACACCTTTCGTCTCTCGATGTGGCCAACGCATACTCGCACACAAATTTTGGATGTGTCAGCCGTTTTCCATACAATTTCAGTAAGATCCTCATCAATGTTGCCATCGGTACCTATAACGAACAAAAGCATGCAGAAAGGCTGAAAAAACACTGATCCTGCAGAGATTCGTATTTATCTATCTATTCGTACTTATGGTCAGCGATAGCAGATCGCTGACCATAAGTACGAATAGATAGATCGATTACATAGATCGTAAGCTGGATAGTGTGTGTGCATCCACACACAACTAAACTAATAAACTGTTTACTTTTACTTAACTCAAAACTACTAGTAATACTGAAGTTAAAACGACCTAAAAGGACAAGATGAATCGCGTCTGCTTTTCAGGACTATGCCCACCAATCTTGCAAATGAAGTGATCCGCTATTTGTGTGCAAGGCCAAAACTTTTATCACAGTCATCAGTTCAACAATTCTTCGCCTGGGTAGAGCAGGGAGGAGTTCCGCAACCATTACGGTAATTGCGCTATTGGTCCCTTAAGTCTTGCTCCGCCTCCACTTCCTTATGAAACTAAACCCCGCCCTCAATTCAGTCTGGTCAGCTGAGCTGGCTCCGAGCGGCTGAACAGGCTTCAGGAGCAAACGCTTAGCTGTTTTCGACGTCCTACAACTTTTTCTATTTTCGCCTCATAAGCCTTCTGATTCTCTCTGAACTTATGTGTGGTGACTTATGCGAATTGTTCCTGTATAAAGCAAGACCAGAGTACTATCTTAGGGTTCTATCCCACTCATTGGCGCACGCCCTCCCCCCCCCCCCTCCCCACCCCCTTCTAATCCGAGAATGGGCCGCGAAATTTTTGAGAGTTACATACTTGGGTATAAAAAGAAAAAACAACAAAAAGATTTTCGGATTTTCGGCGTCAGCCACGCACCTTCACCAGAAGATTTTTTTGTCGTCACCCCCCCCCCCCCCCTCCCCGCCCCTACCGTACATCCTGTGTACGCCACTGATCTCGCTATATATATCTCTCATTTCTCTAATAACTTGTGAAGCATTTGAATTGTCGAACAACGTCTATGAAGTTACAATAAGATTCAGGAATCGATCAAATAGTAGATAGGTTTTCATGCATTAGTTTTGTGTTTGCCAAAAAAACTCGTTTAGGATTCACAAAATTTTCAACGCTTAGGGAGTTTGTTTGATTTTGTTCAACAACGGCTAGTGTACCTTAGTTCCTACATGCCCTGAACCAACTTCCGTATTGAAATCTGCGCTCTTAAGGTAGAACATTCAGCCACCCACAGCTTCATATTCTACCTCTCCTGACAAAACAGTGCACCTCTACCCTTTAGGCTCAACCAGTCTCGTAATTTTATTAGCTCCCTACTCTGTCCAACCTTTACAACAACAATAACGATGTCTGTGAAACTCTTCAAATAAGATCAGTAATCTCTCAATCTCAGACAACTCCTCAAACAGCAGTTTGCAAGTTTGTCGTTGATTCGAAGCCCAACCTTTTCTTCTTTAGCACTGGCTCTGGCATTCGAAAGCGTACTATAAGCGAAATATATTGTATGTTTTGCAAGATTATAGAGCAAAACTTTGAGCTACTGACAGGCAAAGGTTTTTTGCAGGAAATCAAACGTTGTGATCATGTGCTTCTTAACTCTTCTCAGTACTCTGATGTTGCCCCTGATTGGAATGCAGGTAGATAAAGATGCTGAACACTCTTTCCTACTGAATAATTTGGAGCAATTTGGAAATCACTTTGCGCTAATAACAGTAAAAAGTGTTCTCATGTTTGATTTGCAGGTCCAACAAGCGTCTGGTTGTACCTTTACTCCACACCAGGGAGATTTTGTGGCAAGCGTCAAGTATGAAATGCTGAAAAAGAGTGAACCGGAATGCCTTCAAGTGTGCTACGAAGAGCCTGACTGCACCTTTGCCCATTTCGTCCAGCTCATAACGGTTTTCCCCATCTTTCTTTTTGAAATTGAATTAGTCGAATATGTTGCATAGAGAGATTTTTTATTATCAATTTTAGGGTATGTGCACCATTTACAAGAATGGTTCTGAAACTCAAAACGTAACCGGAGTGGTGTACAGCATTGATCGTCAACTTGTGATTCCAAACTGTCAGCAGCCTCTTCCGGTTGCATCAAAAGTCGAAATTTCTCAAAATATCTCCAAACTAGTGGTAAATCAGGACGAAGCTGAGCTTGATAGTCTGTTTGACCAAAACGTGACATCCATTTATGAATTCTATCACGCTGGAAGGTGGTTCTACTCACAAAATGCTTCGCTGTTTCCCGACGGAACGAAACCAGTTTACAAGTAATTTTCACGTTTACCATTAATCAGATATTTTTAATGTTTCCTAATACATAACTGCATTTCATCCCATTAACGAATGATTAGATATCCCATCATAATAACGCGCTAATGCCGTCTGTTTTTTTTGTGTGTGTGCGAGTCTATGTGAAAATCTATCTGTCACGAGATTCGCAGAAGAAGTCTCAGCCAAGGAATTGGGTCCAAATTTTGCTTGGCGCAAGCTAACATCATGAAAATCCACTGGACAACAGCACGAGCGGATCCGTTGAGTGGATCTCTCAAAAATTGCACGTCAAACGGATCCACCTGGCTTCTGATCAGCAAAATTGGGCCTGCACCACAACTTTTTGCGATATCTTGAATATTTTTGACAAGCTAATGTGGAAGCAATAAACTCTAGCCCAGAAAACTAGACTAAAGCTACTTCATGAAAATGGTGCCAAAAAGAGTTAGTTGCGTAAATGCTCAATTTGCCAAGTTCCAGAGATGAAGCCCATGGTGATTTTTGTCGTTATAGCAACTACCAAGCCATAAGAAGTTCAAAACCTATTCAAATTTGCATCTGTCCTTTCTGAAAAAATTTCACCTACGTGAAAATACCGATCTCACACGAAAAACCTCTACGAATGAGTAGTTGTTTACAAATTATTCGTGATAGCCTACATAGCGCGGTGAGTTTCAATGTCATTATTATGCGGGAATAAGTAAGGCATCCAGAAAGTAGGGCCAATGCGAGCCTCTGCCAAGCAGAGGTGACGCAATGGTAAATTATAAATTAGAGGCAGTTTGATTCTAAGAGAACAAGTTGCCATTGTAATGCAATAGAAACTCATATTCAACTGCAAAAATCAAGCTATTGCAGGTACATCTTCTCTAGAGTGCCTCAAACAGGCTGTTTATCGGTTCCTGTATTCACAACTGCAAGTGAGATGTTGACCATTTTTAGCAATATCACACGCCACTTAAAGTTTGGGAAAGCCTCTTAGCTTGGTTACTAATTTCACAGAGATATGCAGAGTTCTTGGAATTTTAGTATAATAAAAGCTGGCTTAGCGTTCAGTTTTATTGAAAATTAAATTTTAGAAAAGAGCATAAGATAGGTGAGGCTAAGGCGTGAATATTAAAACTGCTGCTAACAACTAGTTGCCTATTTCGAATGATTCGTTCAACTGAAGTATCAAATAGTTTTTTTAGCTACTCCATGGTACGCACTGGTCGTACACAGGGCCCGGCACGAGCTTGTCAAATGACAAGCTGGAAATCGTTTTCGGCAAAAAAAGCAAAGGGGAAATCGTTTTTGCGGGGTCCGGGGCGGAGCCCCGGAAAAAAAATTGGTAGTGCACGTTCTCTGCTTATTTTAACATGTTATGTGCCTCAACATGCGAAGACTGGAGTTCCGTCAAACCGCGCCGTCGCTAATTGCCGCACGCGCGACGCCGCTCAAACGAGCTATTTGTAACGGCATACATGACTAGTTCTCAATGTACGCGTCACGGTATGACACCAGATTTTGAAGGCGAACGGAGAGAGGCTAGTGGAAACAAAGTATGAAAAATTATGAAAAACTTATGTGAACGGGACGAGTAATAAGCATTTTTTTCCAAAGATTTTGCAAAATTAGTAAATGAAGTTGTAAATTCAAATGGCTCGTTTGCAACGCGCAGATGACGATATGGTATGAAACTTGGTACACACGTGGACACAAGCCTGTAGGAGCTAACTTAGGAGTTTCATTGAAAAATTATGTGACTGAAGGTTGTGGCAAAGTTTTTTCTGAAAATTTCCCGTTACCAAAGAAATGGCAAAATGGCTCGTTTGCAACGCAGAGGCGACGAAATCGCGCGGGATTCGGTGTGTATATGCGCAGTAGGACTAAGGAACAATGTATGGAAAATTATGAAAAACTTATGTGAATGAAGAGTTTCCCCAACTTATTTCCAAATTAGCTTGTCATTTGACAAGCTAATGACAAGCTGAGCTTGGCAAAACTCTCAATTCACATAATTTTTCCAAAATTTTTACATAAATCTACTCTACGCCTAAACATTAGTATATACTGAAAATTTGGTCCCAAACCTCCTCCTCTCCCCATTGCTAGAGGCAAAAATAGCCTCAACAGCCCCGTTTCCTAAGGAGAAAGCGCGCTCCAATCGATAATGGCGTCGCTGAGTCCTATAATCGCATTGCTGTAACATTCTCTTGTTGTTTTCTTCTTCCTTGTTCCTTTCTTCATTTATTCTAGTTTTAAACTGTTTTGCCTTTGAATTTAGGTGCAGTTCTTCGCATTGTGTTCTTCCTTGCTTTGCTTTGACATTTACTTTTGAGTTTGCTTATAAGCTGCTTATAAGATACCAGTGCGTTACCTCTGCTTCGCAGAGGCTCGCACTGGCTATACCTATCTATGTGCTTTACTCATTCTCATAAAATCTTCTCACTGGAACTCACCGCGCTATGCCGACTACCACGAATAAGATGTAAACAACTACTCATTTAGAAAATTTTTCTCTTGAGATCGGTGATTTCCTTCATGGTAAAACTTTTCGCAGGAAGACAAACGCAAATGTGGATAGTTTGTTGAATTTATCATGGCTTGGTAGTCATCATAAAGGCAATAGTAACCATGAACTACATCTCTGTGCAAAAATCTTCTCAAATGCTTGGCTAGAACCTTGGCAAATTGACCATTTACGCAACCAATTCTTTTTGGCGCCGTTTTCGTTATATGGTGAACTTTTGACTATTTTTGGGCTAAAGTCCATCGCTTGTACCTTTGCTTACCAAACACATCCACGACTTTGCAAAAGGTCGAACATACGGATCCAATTTTGCGGGACAGAGGCCAGGTGGACCTTTTGGCACGCAATTTCTGAGGGATCCACTCAACGAGTCTACTCGTGCTTTTGCAAGTTGGAGTTTCATGAAGGCACCATGAGCTGTGCGAAATTTGGGCTTAGAACGCTGGCTGGAACATGCTCTACGAATTTCGTAACAGACGGACACACACACACACACACAAAAACACGTAAACAACCCTTAGCCCTTTATTATAAGGTCTTGATATTCACTACAATCTGTTCGGCATCGTTCGTTTTTTTCCTTGGTGGTCGTCGTTTCTCAATTAGTATTGAGGAGACTTTGGCTTGCTTCGGCTTTTTTTCATATCTAATTTGCGCTAAGCTAGCTGCTGTTTACTTTTTCCTTGTTCGCGTGTCGTTTCCAACTTTCTCTTCTTCTCCATTTCACTTCGTTTCGCAGCTTTCAATGCTTCATTCACTAGGAACGAGCAGTGCTGTTGAAAGTGGATTTGAAGTTGCAAACATTGATCATATGCTAGTTAGGACTACTTTCTTCCGCACTCGTTTGTAATCGGCGCCCAAGCTACTTGTCTTACGTTTTGATGTTACTTCTTTTCATTTATCATTTTAGGTAATGATGCGAAGGGTACTTCGCCTTTGGTGGCAGATCGCCAGTCCGCTATGCCTTCAGAAGTTTTGGACCGGAAAAATAACGACGCAGTGTAGCTGAAAATGCGGGATTCGACAATGTGCTGGCTTTTGCAGAACGTTAGATAAACAACAGTGTTTTTCGTTTTGAGATTTTCTTCGTTATTTCAAGATTTTCATGTATTTTTTTAAAAAGTATTTCTATATTTATTGTTTGGTCAGTAAATTGACCACTCCCATGTGGGTAGCACTTCGTTGAGAGCAGCATGGTCGTTGGCATAAGGCGTTGGCCACACATTACGCGATTTCAGCTGAGACACGATTTGGCAAATTTTTACTATCCATAACAAATTTTGAGCCCATTCTAAATGTAAAGAGGAGACGTTCGCAGATCGATAAATGCCTTATGTTCTGTTTATCCAGAATGCGCCCAGGATGAGTTATAAACACTTGGAGTATTGCCAAATCGCGTCACACTGCGATCGCGTGAGGTATGCCAAGGCTTAAAGAAGCCTCCAGACCGCTCGGTTGCGGCTTGTGCAGCCGGTTGGCGCTTTTGCGCCGAAGCCCGAGGTCAGTTTTGTCTGTGGGGCGCGTAAGTGTTTGTTCGCAGGATACTTGCACGATTTTTTGTTTTGTCGTTAACTTGCCGCTCTGAAGATTCTCTTCTACAGTAAAGAATTTCTTTGCACACTGTTTGTCTGATGTGGTACCCGGTTCTTCGCGTTTTACAATGGTGCTTCTGCGTAAAAGCGGCAACCGGCACGGTTTGAAGGCTCTCATTGGGTTGTTTATACTGCCGCACTGACCGCATTAGGCCTCGGGACTTCAAGCGATTTGATCGTCGCGACTGCTCGCGATAAGACAACTGTAACAGTATCATTGCATGCCGACCTTCTTGCATTTCGGTTGTGATAGTAATTTTCAAACACGGCTAATCGTGACTAACTATCACAACCGAAATACAAGAAGATCGGCATGCAATGAACTGGTAATACTTGTCTTGTAGCGACTTAATCGCGACGACCAAATCGCGTGAAGTATGCCCGGGGCCATAGACTGTAGGTGACCGCACTGACCGCAGCTTCCGCACTGATCGCTGCATCCTTCGTAGAGGAGAACAAGCGTTTACGTCAAAATACCGTGATTTACGCCTAGGAAGTCCATAGAAGGTTCTATTTTACTCTTCTTAAGCAAATTTTGGCGATTGTTTTTCTTTGATATACTCATAGTTGTTCTGATTCGTCCTATTTATTCCTTTTCTAATACTCTCGCTCGTGTCGTGGGTCTAGACATATATAGTTGTTGATTGTTTGAGTTACAACTATTCATCCTATCCACCCTTATGAAAGGACGCAGTACGCGCGATCTGTGCGGCCGCTGCAGTCAGTGCGGTCCTGCAGTCTGCTGCAGTCTGCTGCGGTCAGTGCGGCAGTCTGAAACAATCCATTCAAAGTTAGACATCAAAGGAAGCGTCAGATCGCGCTGGCGCTGCCGCTTTTGCAGCCGATGAGCATCACGTTCGGTTAATGTCCCTGGCGCACGCTGCAGCTCAATGATAGAACAATTTTCTAGTTTTTTTGTCATTCTCTTGATCTTTCATCACAAATTAGCTTGAATAGGCTTGTAAAACGTTTGCACTTAGCCCATTGCCGTTGAGGACGGACGCGAGGAGTATTGCCTACATCCAGCTAAGATTTTTCAAAGTGTTTCTTTGCTTTTTCTATTCTTTAACGATCCGTGCTTTTTATCGGGGATGGTTACATAGCTGGATGTGATGTTCTATAGGCTGCTGCATGACGAAGGCGCAATATATTTGGGCGCGAACGCAGGTTTATCAGCCGCAGAGCGCAGGAGGCGCAAGAATCAAAACGGTGAAGATATGCGCGCGTTGTTTCTGCGCCTTCGTCCTGCAGTAGCTATTAGAGCATTTGTGCAATACACGGTGTTGCATGTTTGTAAGTATGGAAAATAAGCGGGTCATTTACAACAAATATGAAACTTGAAAGTAAACAATTTTCTTCTCTGTGCCTTTTGCTTTTTTCTTTTCTATATTATGACTGCACTTATTGTTAGGTCACACCTTGTTGATGCTTTTTTTCTTCCATGCTTACCATGCATTACCACAGTCTTGCATCTGGTTTAGAACATTAATTATGTCAAATCGCATCAACTTCAGAATTATGGAATGTGGGTGTTAAGAAACGAGGAAACGCGTTTAACCACTTCGGACACATCTGACAAGGGAAGAATACCAGCATTAGTTGGCGATTGAAGATGAGATGTATATCTGTAGACGCGTTTTTGAACGCTGATTCCAAATCTGCTTTTCTTTTTTGCGGAATACGTTTCCGACAGAAGTTGTGGGCGTTCAAATGTCCAATTTTGTGAAGGTTTAGGTGGCCTAAAATTGGCGTCAAGCTATACAAAAACAGTGAAAAGTGAAAAATTATTCTTGTATCGAGTATATTGCTTGCAAGGAAGGAACACAGCCGGTGGAAATCGCATAGGTGTTGTTTTAGAGCACTTCGCTGATTTTAAGCCGCTCAATGCTTTTCAAATCTGGACATTCAAACGCTCATAACTTCTTTCGGAAACTTATTCCGCAAAACAGGAAAGCAGATTTGGAACCAGCGTTCAAAGGCGGATCTAATGATATACATCTCATCTTCAGTTGCCAACTAATGTTGGTATCCTTCCCTTGTGAGTGTAGTCGATACTTCTTGCATCTTGTCAACGACGGCAATCTTGAAATTTATGATTCAGATCGATCGCGCAATCCTTCTTAGTCAATGAAGCTCGACCTGCGATGTCTTTCTGTGGCAACCTAACTACGAATGTCAGGATCAACACCACGAGATGATTTGTTGTTGAGGAGCTTTTTTATGTAAACGTCATTGTAGATTCCGAAATAATCACCACTTGTTTTTTTTGGTATTGTTGTCGATAGATTCTTTTAGTAGTTTCTTCAATAAAAATTGTGTTTCATGGTAAAGGGTTTCGCTGCACAAGTACAAGGGCCAATTTCTGAGTCAAAGGGGTATTCGTAGAAAATTTTTGGGGTCAAAGGGGAATTCGTTTTCGAAAACCCCTTTTGACAAGCTCGTGCCGGGCCCTGGTCGTACAGCATGAGAAAGCAACGCAGTAATGATAAATATTCAGGAGGAGAACCATCCGTTATTCGCAGCAATTCATTGCCTCAGTGGTACTTCAAATCTCAAGTAATCAGACAAACGCGGGGGGGGGGGGGGTAGGCGACATCTCGCAGAATTTCAAAAATTTGCAAGGCAGCTTTTGGATTTCATATGTCTGCCGGAGATCTGCCTGCAAAGTTAAGAGGAAGGAAAGGATCGACATGCGGCCTTGAAAAATCCTTGAATCTATAAAATTTTTTGAGTAAAGTGCGAAAATTGAACAACGCGCATTTTCCGGGACCGCCTTCCCCGGCGATTTTCTAAGCAGATGTCTTCACACAACGCAGTTTCAAATTTTTTTTTGTGACAAAAAGGATGCCGGAAAATAAGAAAGAAACCTTTGCAAAACAGCGAATCAGTTTGAATTTTTGTGTTGAATCAGAGGGGTAGGGAATACTGTAAAAAGTTCTGGGTCTGCGACTTATCTTGAGATTCTTAGCAGATGCATAGATGGTTGCAAATATTGCTTTATTAAAGGTTGAGACTTAGCATTAATGCATTGTATATTCCCATATTCTTACAAATGCCTTTTCAGGCGGCAGAATCTACGTTGGAAAGGTCTACAATGTGACTGGCTACACCTTCATGCATGCCTACGCATTCGCAGACGTTTGCAGAATCGTCGCCTGTGCAGGAACGTGTTGTGGAACGACGCCTGTATTTCCACCAGAAGACGGCAATTTATATGGGGGAACAAACTCTAGAGTGCCTATCTTCTACGTGGTAGACCTCATTGAGTTCTCCACAGGTCTTTCGGCCAGTGCTTATTACAAGGTAAACTGCTGAGCTCTTACAGACAGTATTTTGACTCCTGAGCAAGCTGATATTCAATTAGTAGCAGCCCGTACTTTCCATATTCTTTAGAAATACGAGATGCTGTTCGTGCAAAGCTTGGGTTTAGCATGGACTTAGGCGCTTTGACGCTTGATTTAACGTTAGTCATTCATCCACTAATAAATAAATCTTTGTGATCGTGCAAATCATATCTACGTTGAGTTGAAAAAGTTTTTCTCAACCTAAAACAAGCTTTATGAAATTATTGAAATATACCAACATGCTTAAGGTTGTATGTCTTTCGCAAAGAGACATTTAGATCCTTTTGCAACCTAATGCTATTTTCATGGTGTTGATATTGTCATGCCCACAATTAACCTCTAAGATAATGAAATGCATTCGAAAGTCATTTGTCAACGGATTTTGCCGTCAAAATTATTTACTGATATGTCTTGTACTGCGAGTCTTCAAAGAATGCATCTCACAATCAGTAAATTAATGGAAGCAAATTTTGAAGAAAAATACACAATTGGTCTGAAGTAGAAGGAATCTACAGGTCGACATTGTTCAGATGAGCTGCCTATCGGTCTTTCCATTAATGCATCGGACATGAAAATCACCATCATTACAAAACTTGTCACACTATGCAAAAACACAAGTCTTGCGCACTTTATCTCCTGATGGCTAAGAAATTTATGTCTTTGCAAAGTTTACGTGTTGCTGGTACCGTGTTCTCGTTTAAAAATTTTCTGAGACATTCAAAGAGCGATCGACATCTGTGATGGAGTTTCCATAGCTCCCATTTTCCTGACAAGGAAAATTTCAGGACTTGAAGTAGAAAGAGCCGAGAGACGTCGCAGTCTCCCAATAAATCTCGAATTTGAGTTAACAAAGCTGATTCGAAAAAAACATCGAGGGTGTTTTTTTTCGACTCTGTAATTGCTAATGTAGCTGCACAAAAAAACAAAGAGCTTGAATAAACTCAAAAAAAAGATGGGGAACTGGTCAAGCGTGCTGATGCGATCCGGGACCCTCATTTACCACCCCTCCCCTCTTGAAGGTACCCATCCGTACGATTCCCCCCCCCCTTCCCCCCCTCCACCCCCCCCCCCACCCCATCCTCACCCATTTATCCCCCTTACCTCCACTGCCCACATTCCTCGCGGTAACCTGCACAAACGAATGTCAATCTCAAAAAACACCTGCGTGAGAACTTCATTGAGGTTTCGGAAGCAGAATTTTTAGGCCAATGGGTGCGTCCATCATCTGTAGCACACATACACACCTTTAATAATGTTTGAGATTCTGCATTTTTTTTGAATTTTCAGGCATACTTCAGGCCAGCAAATTCGATTCCCGTAGGCGACACGAATCTCGCACGGAGAAAAAATGACATTCTTGAACTACAAAAGATGTTTTCGACTGAGAAGCTTACTTCCTACCTCTTCCACAGTTTTCCCCGCGAAAAAAAAACGCTTGAGCGCTGTCCAGAATGACGTCAAAAACGTGCATGAGCACGGTAGTTTGAAAATTCGTAACTAAGGCCAGGAAAAGACTGGGAGGCTGCAAAGCACAGGTTCTGTAGTATAGTGCCCAGACTATCCAAAGAAAAAGTTTCAGCCCTTGAGGAGCAGTAAGCTTGAAAAAATTTAGATGCGACTCTCGCAAATTTAGATGCGATCCTAAAAAGCAAAAACTGGGATTTTTGAGCTTGAAATTTTGTAACTTACCAGAGAAGTTATAAAACAGCCTGCAATTTTTATGAGGGAAAGTAAGAGGATGGCCTCATATTACAGCAGAATTGCAGCCAACAAGCTTCAACAGCTCCGTAGAAATTTAGATGCGACCCAGATCCGACCCCCCTTTCCTGACTTTCTGCTACCATACATAATATCATAAGAAAATCCACAGTTCACAAAATGACACCAAATTTTGCACTGATATAGTAGAGCATATCCAAAGTAGAGATAAATCATATGGGTCCGTGAAAAACATTACAAAAAGATTTAGAATTTTATGGTGGTCACAGCTAGTAAAGACATTCGCTTTTGTCGAGTGTGTGAAACTTCAAGAAGGCTTCAGAGGCAAGATTTCTAGGGCAATCGGTACATTTAGCATTTTTGTCAAATAATACATCCTTCAAAAGTGTTTTGAGCTCTTGTAAATGTTTTTTTTTGAGAATTTCTAAAGATTTTTTATCTTTTTTATTCTGATTTCCACTTTTTATAGATTTATTGTAAAGAACATAACTAATTGTCTGGTTTTTGATTCCCTTTGAAGCCTAGGGTATTTTAGCCTAACTACCTCCTCTTACGACCCCCCCCCCCCCCGCCTTAGATACCATCTTACGACCCCCTGTTGCGACAGTCGCATCACAAGCTTGACCTGATGGGGAATTTGCCCAACTAGAAGTTCCAGCATGCGATATTGGAGGCTGGCGTTTTGTCCCATCTATCAGTCATCTCGTCGACCGACTCTCACTAAATTTTGAAGACATAATTAGTAGTCTATGCCTTGCCGCTTCAAGTTCAGAAAAAGATCAGTATCGTCACTTGTTATTCGCCTACAGAAGCAGCAGACGAAGGCAAGCTCGACTAAGTCTATGAGGAGATCGAAGACGCCATCTACGAATAGAAGTTTTATACAAAGTTCATGTTGGCGACTACAATGCAAGGATAGGAAAAACGTAAATTCAAGAAGACTGCAGAATCAAGAAATCTTGAGAAATCGAAATGAGAATGGAGACAGACTCATGTTACACATAACACTGGCGCCTCTGTTTCATGGAAACTCTTTTACTGGAGTAATGAATACCGCCGTTGGATGTGGGAGTCACCAAAGTCCACTAGACAAACACTCGATCATATACTTGTCAACAAGAGATAAAAAGAAGAGGGTTTTCTACAACGAGCACAGCTTGAAATGTTTTTTTAAATTTTAATGTACGGGGAGAAATTTGTGAATTAACCTGGTACTTTAAAAGGGGTTTCGAAACAATAATCAAAGCCATGGAAGATGTCGTCTTTTGGAAGATGGCTATAATTTGCATAAGTGATGATACACGTAAAGATGAGGCATGAAAACATAGAGGTTTTTTTGTGACACCAAATATCAATTTTCAAGAGAATGAGGCTCCAATCAAGTTAATTATATACTAAACACTAAGCAGTTTACATGGATTTATCAGAATGCTAAAAATAGAGCGTAACAAATTAGGTAGGCTGCTATTACATGTTTTGGGGTTTTTTGTTGAATTCTTCACTCCATTACTAACAAGGAAAGGAAGGTTGGTCGAAGTGGCCTTTTAAAATAAGATGTGTCCTGCCTTGTAGAGCTTGGAACGCTAATTCCAAATCTACCTTTGCTATCTGCTGCTGACATCTGGGGAAGGAGTTACGAAGGTTTTTGTGAGTGAAAATCTGAATGCAAGAGTAGGCTAAAATCAGTCGTAACATTTTTTATAAGGCTTAATTGGTAGTCGGGTCACTCGGTGCAACAAATATTCTTGATTTAAATATACCAGTTCGCTGCTGCCTCATTTGAACATTGGGAAAAGGTTACGACTGATTTTACCCTATTTTTGCATTCAGATTTTTACTCATAAAAACCTTCGTAACTCCTCGCCTAGAAGCCCGCAGCAGATAGCGAAGGTAGATTTGGAATCAGCGTTTTAAGCTCTACAAGGCAGTACACACATCACTTTGAAAGGCCACTTCGACCAACCTTCCTTCCCTTGTAAGACGCATATATGGAGTGTGATTTGCATGATAGTAGTTCTGAAATTGAACACAAAAATATGTCGAATGAAGAGTTTAATGATTGGTTAGGCGATGAAGTCTAAGACTAGAATCCAGAAAATTTATAGCGCTTAGTAAGGGATTACGTGAAAGCTACGATAAATGGTGTTTCTTCGCTACTTTTGAGAAGCCACAACATTTTTTCAATTGATACAAACTCAATTTTTAGTAATGCAGCCCTTTCTAAGCTTACCTGTTCTTGTGATGACACCGGCGATAATCGGTCTTACAGTTCTTACCTTGTATATGCATTGACTTCCTCTGTTCATAGAGAGTAGCAGAAGTGAAGGAGCTGTGTTCCACAGACGACTAGGGCTCTGATGCTTGAATAGAGCGCATCTGATTAGCAACACGTGTTCTTTGCTATGAGGTTTATTCTACTGATACCAACTTGCAAGGCTCTTTACCAAACTCAAACTGTGGGAATCTCGATTTCCTCTAGTGCTCACAAGATTTCACTGTGCGGAAGTTGCTTATCTGCTAATGTTTATGTTCCGCAAATCTGTATGATTTCTGAACTTTAGCTTTAATGAAGCAGAGCTGCGCAAGCAGTTTTTTTTTCGCTTCAGAGGTAACTATGGAGAATAAATTTTGCCTAGTAACCTTATGCAATTCAAAATCCCAGTTCAAGATTGGTGTGACACTTGTCTGAGCAATAGGACTAATTTTTCAAAAATGCTGTTGGATGGAGACAACGAACGATGCACTACAGTAAGATGCATGTTTTGGTGTGTTAGCAAGATGTGCAGCAAAAGCTGACAATTAAAGAACGCTTTGCTAATAAGGAAGACTTTGCATGATTCAGATGAATAATCATGTCACCTTGTCGGGTTCCGCAGTAGACATAAGGTGTAGCATTCATAGTCCTGCACGTTTGCGAAATAGGAGTCAGCTTTGGGAATCAAAAAAAAATAGCAGAGGGCCTTTGGCCTGATATTTGAATCATTTATATTGGCACGCATTCAGTAAAACTCAACGCGGCCAGCCGAAAAGAAATCTCCTTAAATGGAAAACGTCTTGAGCTTAGATAATCGCTTTTTGGAAAACCTCCATTTCATTCAATCACCTTCCCTTCAGCAGTTTAGCAGGTATAATAGAATTACTTACTTCCGACTTGATTTCGAAGCTTCTTAGCTGTCGAGATGGCGTGACCTCTCTTTGGGCCCTTGCTAGTATGCCCTTTAATTCAACGAGATTGGCGGCTGGAAGGCGACC